TCTTCAGAACTGTGCGGCTGTTAAGGTGGAAGAGTTGACAAAGCAGATGTCAGTGAGTCTTTATGAATCCTGACAGGTTTTGTAATAAACGTGAATGAATCCATAACATCTGTATGAGGGGAAATGGGAAGGGTTGAGTTCATTCCTCACATAGCTCCAGCCATCTTATGCATTTACTTCCCACCAAGTAAGAAGGGTGGCTCTGACGGAACTGCCTCATGTCGTTCCATGGTGTCGCTGGCGCAGATGGCCATGCCTGGCTTCCCATGTGTTGTTGGTGTAAGTGCTGCCCATCGCTGGGGGAGGGGGTTATTTATTTGGAGATATTGATTCCACTCCTGGCTCTGTCATTGACTGCACAATGTCACAGGAGCCAAATAACCTCTGTGCCTTAGCTTCTTATCTCATGGAGGAGATGTTCCCTGACCCAGGGACTACCTCAGGGGCTTTTTGTGAGAACGAAAGAGCAGGAGGAAGACTCAAAGGCCTTTAGTCCCAAGGTTCTCAATGCTGACCACATGCTATAATTTCCCATGAAGTTAAAAAGAACTTGATGACCCTTCCCACCTGCAGCCGATTGAATCAGAACCTCAGGTAACAATATGTCTTGAGGTGCCTTGAACTGTTACTTCGGGAAGCAGGACAAACACATCATTACCTTGGAAGAATCACTTTAAGGATTAAGGCTCAAAAAAAAAAACAAAAAACAAAAAACTTTGAAGCAAGCAATTCTGTAAGAACAATCAGATATTGACATATATATTTGTGGTATAAGTATTGGCCAAGCAATTTCTCAGTTTGCTTCTCATCCAAGCATCTGGAAAAATCAAACATGCTTTCATTTACATAAGCAGTTTATTAAGTCCTCGGTAGCAAATGTAAACAGATAAGAATCTATAAATCTAATATATATCAGAGTTATTCATTAATTATGGGAGAAAAGCCCCTCCCCTCACACTTGACTTCAATGGCAATGATAAAGTCCATTTTGCCAAGAATATTGAAGTGCCTCTGTGTTGTGAGCTAGAGAAGAGCAGGAGCTGGCATGCATGCTAGCTGA